TCAACTTTTAAGCTTTGTCGAAGTAGACAACCCAAGCCCAATACAAGATAGGCCCAGCCTGGCCGGTACCATCAACAGGCCTCCTCTAACCCTAGAGCATTCGCCGTGCACTCCGCTGCCGAAGCGGCGGCGAGGAATGGCTTCGTCGGAGAAGCGCCGGGCGAGCACCTCGCCGTCGGCCACCGCCCTCGACTCCACCACAAACCCCGACTCGGCGTCGCCGTACTTCCTGCCGGAGCTGATCCCGTTGGTCGCGAACCGCCTGAGGCCTGACGACCCTCCAGGACTTCTTCGCCCTCCGTGCTGCCTGCCGCACCTACCGGGATCTTCTCCCGCCGACGCCGGCCAACCTCGCCTCCCAGGGTTCGCTCCTCCTCTTCCCCCACATGGCCTCTGCGTTGGGAGCCCTCTTTCATGCCCCCCTCCGCCGCATGCTCCGCTTCCGCCTCCCCTGCACCCGCCTAGGTCGCCCCGACCCCAGCTTCACCGAGTTCTACTCCTTCGGCTGCCGCGTCGCCATCAAGTACCCCGACGGCTATGGCACCGGCCGCGAGCTCAGCATTTGCCACCTCCTCACAGGCGAGCGAGCCCGCCTGCCTGATCCCCCAGATCTAAGATACTCCGAAGAAGTCGTCTTTTCCGGCGACCTCGTCGTCACCTTCAGGAAATTCTACCGCGTCCTCTACTACTGCCACATTGGGGATGCTCAATGGCGAGAAGCGTGGTGCGATGAAGGCCACCAGCTTTACAATCTGATGTTCATGAAAGGCACTCTCTATGCGCTGATTTACCCAGATTACCGCCTCGCCGCCGTCGAGCTTGACAGGAATTCTGTGGTACTGTCGTTTCTTGGAGATAGAATGATTGTGTCGACAGTTAATAAATGTCCAAAGTTCTGGTTAGCAGAAGGTCGTGGTGAGTTATTGCTCATTGTCAGGGTGGAGTGCAATCCATGGGTGTACCATGTTTTCTATCTGCAATCCGGCAGTTCGAAGTGGATGAGGACTACTAGCCTTGGTGGTTGCAGCTTGTTCTTTAATTTCCATGGGTTTGCCGGTTGCCTTGGTCCAGATCATCCGGCAGTTCGAAGGGACTGCTTGTACTTCACTGGGTGCTCTGGGAAGTGGAGCGAGTATTCTTTGGTTGATGGGGCTTATCATGAATTCGTCATCGACTGCCCAGGGCGAACAGAGCATTGTGGATCTCCGGTTTGGGTCCTTCCAAACATTTGTTGATGCAGTACAATGGGGTATCATAACTGTCCATAAATTCTCAAGGTACATTTGCTCCCTAGTGCAGTGACTAGTTACAGTTGTTTAGTTTGACATTTTCTGTTTGTTAATCAAAATATTCAAATGACTGTTTAGCAGTAAATCCAGAAGGATGAGTATACGTATTCCCCTTGCAATGCTCTGGTGTTTGTTCTCTTATCTATCTACCCAGAAAAGAGTCTAGTGTTTATCATGATAAGGTGGGGTGTTCTCGGAGTGTTTGACTCGACTAATTCATGGCGTCGTGGACCTGACAGGCCTGAAAGCAATGGCATGTGAGTACTAGTAGCCCACACCATTCAGTAGCCAAACCATGGCAGAAGTGGGTGATGGTAGGAGTGATTTCTAGATATGCCTTTTATTCGTGAAGGTCGTGAGTCCAATGTCGATGCCATTGTTTAGCTAACTTGTCACTGTCTTGGAACGTTGGTCAATCATGTTTTGATAAGTAATTGTGGAAGGTCGACAAGAAATGTAATTTTGCTTCTGCAAAGATTACATTGATAATCTTCTGTTTTTGGGGTGTGAGTGTGATGTGCCTATGGCAGTATGTTTGGAGTACTGTTGTTGTTGCTCTGTATGTGGATGAATTACCCTGTAAGATGAGGATTTATGTGCCTGGGTGTTGAGTTTTTGTGGGCAGGGGAGATGTTTAGTTTCTGCTGAAAGTTATAGCGTTGCTTTGGGCTCGTCGTTCTTGCTTCAGTAATATATATCCTGCTAAACCTAATGTTGCTATTTCCATGATGTTCACATGTGCTGTCTTGGTCTGCTTTGCAGAAGAGAAATCAACCTGTCTTGGTTGATCGAAGTTGCTATTGGATATTCTAGTACATGCTTTGTACCTGTGGTCTGTAACATGATGATGAAGAGAATTGTGGTATTTTGGTAGGCTGGTTAGTAGTTCAGCTGCTTGGCTAGTACTTCCTCCGTTCCTAAATATAGTCTTTTAAGAGATTTCATTATAGACTATATACGGAGCAAAATGAGTGAATCTATACTTTAAAAGGTGTCTATATACATTCGAATGTAGTCTCTATAGTGTAATCTTTAAAAAGACTTATATTTAGGAACGGAGGGAGTACTAGTTTCTCTCGCTTCACTGCACATGCTTTTTTCTTAAACAAACAACTCTGCGTCTATGAAGGGAAGTTGGCTGCAATGAGCTCCTGTAATTTCCCCCAAAAGAAGTTTTGCTCATTGACTAAAGCACACAAATGTAAAAACTAAAATCAGCAGTTGAAAAGAACTGGCATATAGGAGGTAAAATGCCATTAAAAATGCTAAAAATCTTAGAAGAAATGGCCTTGCATACTCTCTCAATTCTCAAGTGCCACATGCTTTCGTAATTTCTCTCATAGAAAATGGAGGCAAGCTGCCTCTTACCTAAATGTTTAAAGCTATCTTGAAATTCCAGCTGATGAGGTGTAATCTTGTAGTACCTCTGTACCAAAATAGAAGACCTTTTTGTAGTTTAATTTGAACTGCAAAAGCGTCTTATATTTTGATACTGAGGGAGTAAGATTCTAACCTCCCTAGAAATGCTGGCTCTTAGGGTGTGTTTGGTTTGGGAACGAAGTGGAAAGGAATGTAATGGCTCCATTCCACTAGAATGGGTTGGTTCCGTCCTTACGTTTGGTAGAAGGAATTCAGAGGAATGGAATGGTTACATTTGGGTGTTTGGTTTATGAGATGGAACCGAATGGATTTGTTCACCGCACTACTCAAATATTTACATCAAATACAAACAACACACATATACAGAGGTAAAATATCATGTAAATACAAGGAAATTCAGGAGGTAAAAAATCAGACGAGGATGTCGCTGGGCGTAATGGGGAGGACGAGGATGTCTTTTTTTTTCAAAAAAAAGGAGGCGATGCAGGCGCGTGCGGGCGGGGATGCGCTGTGACTATCGGTGGAGAACGAACGCCGGCGTAGGAGACATGCGACGACAGAGGCAGGCTATGGCGGCGGAAGCCATGGCCGGCGGCGCAACGGTAAGAGCGTTCAGGCGGCGTGGAAGGAAGGGTCGGGAGGTAAGGAGGAGAGAAAGGGAAAGAAAGGAAAGGAGCAACGGCACGGCGGCATTGCTCACCGTCGTGTATGGGTCGGTCAGGTGAACCTCGGGAACAAGGGCAGCGGCGGGATTGGGAG